CCCGTAGCTGCAGCGCCGGGCAGGTTTGCTACAGGAGAGTCCTGCTTCTAGAGCCAAGGTCATTCCGTGCAGGCGGCCGGACCTGGGGCTGCCTTGAGATGAAGGTGTCAGTCACCCCATCCTGTCACCCTGGGAGGCAGAACAGTTAATGGCAGAGGCGTGGCTTGAGTCAGGATTTATTGTTAGCAGCTCTCAGAGCATTTGTGGTGCTAAGCCAGAGTGTTCCTCTTACAGCCCGTGAGCTCATTAGCTGAGTAACTGGAGTCCACTGGCTGGAGACTGTGGGCAGAGGTAGTGGGGACGTTGGACATTGGGTTTTGGTGTTCTAAGGAGGGTGGGGAAGAGAGTGGGAAGCTTGTGTGTGTGCTTAAAGGGAAAAAAGCCTCAGGAAACGTGTGGATAGTCTCTATCTTAGCACAGGGGAATCATGCACTCAAGCTCTGGGTGTTGGTAATTGCCCAGTTACATACCAGCTTATTGATGAAGTAAGAGCTTAAGCTGTAGAAGCTGTGAAAGAAAGGGATACAGTCTCTGTGGGACAGCGTTGGCTGCTGTGGTGTGAAATGGTGCTCAGTGTTCACAGGGTTCCTCCCTGGCCAGGGTGGTTTATGGCCTTTGGCTGGTTTATGTCACTGTCAGAAAGAAGACAAAGTCTAAAACACTTGAGGACTTCCCAGGGAGGAGCTGAGGCTGATGGTGCCCAGCACGTGTGTGGCTGGTTCTGTGTCAATAAGCAGCAGTGGGAGTTGTGTGGTGGAGCCCCCAGTCTCACCAGTCACTCCTTGCTTGCAGGAAGAGATGTCGGGAGAAAGTGTGGTGAGCTCAGCAGTGCCAGCAGCGGCCACTCGCACGACCTCCTTCAAAGGGACGAGCCCCAGCTCCAAGTATGTGAAGCTGAACATCGGTGGTGCCCTCTACTACACCACCATGCAGACCCTGACCAAGCAGGACACCATGCTCAAGGCCATGTTCAGTGGCCGGATGGAAGTCCTCACCGACAGTGAAGGTAAGGGGCTGCCCCCTGGCCTCGGGCTGGTTTCCTTCCTCTGTAGTGGAAATAGCTCAGAAGGGGTTGGAGAAAAATAGTAGAGAACAGAGAGGAACATCTAGTTGTAGGTCCAGATATTTCTATGTTTTGTTAGTGCTGAACCTTAGCTTACACAGCTGAGAAAAGACGTGGAACAGAAGACTTGTGTGACGTGAGAGGAGTCATGCAGAGACCTAAGGGAAACCTTACAACAGTTTTCCAATACCTAAAGGGGCTACAAGAAACCTGGAGAGGGGCTTTGGACAAGGGCCTGGAGGGACAGGACAAGGGGAATGGCTTGAACCTGCCAGAGGGGAGACTGAGATGAGCTCTGAGGCAGAAGCTCTTCCCTGGGAGGGTGCTGAGGCGCTGGCACAGGGTGCCCAGAGAAGCTGTGGCTGCCCCATCCCTGGCAGTGTTCAAGGGCAGGTTGGACACAGGGGCTTGGAGCAACCTGCTCTAGTGGAAGGTGTCCCTGCCCGGGGCAGGGGTTGGAGCTGGAGGAGCTTTAAGGTCCCTTCAACCCAAACCAGGCCAGGATTCTATGGCTTGAATAGTTGACTGAACAGCAGAAGGACAGGAGCGAGTCCCGAGGCTCCTGTCAGGCCCAGACAGCACGGGCTCTGCTTTTGGAATACTAACACTGAAGCTCTCAAGCATATGGAAGATGCTGGGAGAGTGATTGAGAAACTGTGAGTCAGGACTTGGGTATTTACGTTGAAGCCCAGGAGGCAGTTCCCTGGTCTTGTTTCCTTACCTCAATACGAGTATAAAATGACACTGGAACAGGGTTTATGAGCTGAAAGCTGGTTTCTTGGAAGTGAAATGGTTTCCTTGTGAGAGCACGGATTGTTGGCTTCACTGAACGGAGCCAGAAACTTGCTATTGTATTAGTGACAGTCAAAGGAGAGAGCTGGCAAACGGCTCTCTCCATGTTAAACGTGTCTGGAAAGAAGGAATGTGCAGGATGTCAAACAACAGCCTTCTAAAGGAGCAGTGCCCAAATGCTTCACTTCCTCACCAAATACATTTGATTTTATCTTCTGCTGAGATTCTTTAAAACATTTAAATGAATACTCTAGCTAAAACGTGTGTGTGATAACTGCAACAGGGAGCAGAGGTTTTCATCAGCATTCTCATGTTGTGGGAGTGTCGCAGGGTTTAACTGGAAGCAGTGTTCTCTTTATGGGAAAGAGAAGTTTTCCCTGTAACTGAGGGCTTGGATACCGTGTCTGTGTTAATAACTGGTCTGTTGAAGACCTCTCCCCTCGTTGCTGAACCTCAGGCACTAATTTGAGACTTGCCAAGTCCCTCACTTTGGAAGTGGGTCAGAAATTCCAAGTGGATTGTGGAAGCCCATCCTGGCGTGATCCCGCCGCTTCCTCTGGGTGTCCTGGGCTGGTACATCCTGGGCTGGTACATCCCGTCTCATTCCCAAGGCTGCAAGTGCAGGTTCTGTTTGCTGGACAGCAGCTGACAGAGTTGCCGCTGATATGAGGGTAAGTGGAGTTGAACGTGCTAAAATCTCATGCTTGAGACATAAAACCCCAAGTTTGCTTTGCTCTGAATCCCACAGTGTCCGTGTGGGATTGGGCCATTTTGCCAGTTTGTGTTTTAATAGGAATTTGATACTTCCTGCATGTTGTAACTGAGACACTCCCATTGCAGTAGATGTTGCTTTATCTCCCCGAGCCTGGGGTGACACTGGAAACTGGGACAATGGTGTTGGAGCTGGTAAAGGAAACCCTTTTTATCTGAAATCCTTCAAAACACCCTCATTGGTCACACCCAGAGCCTGGCTCCAGGCAAAGTGTTCCTGAGGAAAAGCAGCCGGAGGAGCTTGTGGAGAAGCTGGAAGGAGGCAGGTTTTGAACCAGCCTCTGGAATGTGTCAGGAGGGCTCCTCCTCTTTGTTTAGATGCATCCTCCCGAGCCCAGCACCATCTCCCAGCTCTTTCTCAGAGCTTAACACTTGCAACATGCTGCTGGGTGGGAGGCAGAAAAGACTCGAGTTCTCTCTGGTGGTGGATGAGTGTTTGCAGCTTAGAAATTGTTCATGAACTGTAGAAAATTGCCATTGGTGTGAGTTTTCCAGGTGCATCCAGCTCTTTCCAGGTTTCTTTTCTTCAGTGTGGTTATTTTCCTCTCTTTGCTATTAACCAGCTGATCGAGGTGCATGTTTCTATCCAGCTGCTAGTAAGACTTGAGCATCAGGCAGGCTTCAGTGTCAGGCTATTTCATCTGTCAAAGCCTGCTCCGAAAATGCAGCCTGGTTTCATTGGAGTGTTTGGATGCTGTCCCTGCGACTCGTTGTGAAACAACAGGTGAATTTCCTACTGTGTGTACGTACAGTTCATGGATTCCTTCCTCAGTAAGTGGATCCCAGGGCACTCTTGTAATGCTGCAATTAAAATAGCTTTAAAGGACTCCAAATGAAACCCACTTCTGGAGCTTTGTACAGCTGTGATGGAGTGGCACAGGGTCATTTCGCTGTGAGTCATTGTGCTGTGCCTGTAGGTTTGGCTCTTTGGTTAGAAGAGGGGGTTCTGTAGCCATCACTTGTATTTTGCAATGCTGCTTGAAACAGTCTCTCGTCTCCAGATGAAAATGAGCAATTCTGCCTCGGTTTCACCGTCTGTAAACAGAAAGTTCCAGCAGATTTTTACAGCCTACAAGGGGAATCACAGTAGGGATGGTAACAGAGACGTTTGGGGATCATAATCGTGCTCTCACCCTGCCCTTTGCCTTCCTGCACGTTGGTGCACTCAAGTAAACTCTGTCAATAGCTGTGGGACAGGGACTGTCGTGGTTTCAGCCCAGCCGGTAACTCGGAACCACGCAGCCGCTCACTCGCTTCCCCCCTCTTCCTCCCCCTGCTCCCAGAGGGATGGAGAAGAGAATCAAAGGGATGTAAACCCCACGGGTTGAGATAAGAGCAGTCCAGTAACTAAGGTATAATACAAACCACTGCTGCATGAGACTGAGAAAGTCCTTGGTCGGAGTAAACATTACTGAGCAACAACTAAACCCATCGGTGTTATCAGCGTTGTTCCCAGGCTGAAAGTCAAAAAACACAGCACTGCACCAGCTACTGAGGAGGAGAAAAATGACTGCTACAGCTGAACCCAGGACAGGGGTGTCCTTAGTTATTAGGGTGTCTTGTGCTCCCTTTGCTCCTTAAAATGGGAGATCTCACTTTCCATACCTCTGATTGGCAAATGGGCTTTTCCTGCTCTGGTTGGCCAGGTATAGCCTGGATCAGTCTTTTGTTCTTTGATTTCTCTGTCTCTAGTTCTCCTGCCTCCAGCTTTCTAGTCTGTGACAGTGCAATTGTGAGCACACTGTTCTATGTAGCAGCACAATGAGGGAGATGGAAAGCCTGTAGTGAACTGCTGGAGAGTGGCTCGGTTTCCCACAGCAAAGGGCTGCATTCCCCTTTGAATTGAACCAAATGCTCAGACTTTACCAGCAATTCCATTCATGCAGAACACACAGGGGCTGCTTTAACCTACTTTCCTTATTTGTCCAAAATATGACTCCTTCCCCACAAGCGTTTCCTCGCTGCATTCCTGAGCTGCAGCCTGGAAGAGTGACCATCTGTTCATTTATGGCAGGGGGGGAGACACTGCTCAGGGTCCAGCCAGGGCGGGCAGCAGACAGGGACAAGAGGTGAAGCTCAGATCCTGTGTCACCAGCTCCTGTTGTAGCTCTGTCTCCTCTTCCTCGCAGCACTGTCAGCACGTAGCAGTGCTGCAGCAGGGCAGGGGCTGTACTTTCTGCTTACACGTACTGCTGCATCGTGGCTTGCAGCAGGTGATGTTGTGCTGGTAACTGCCATGTTCTATCACGTTAATGCACTTTGGGGGGATGCAGTGTTTGCTGTGACACTGCCTAATCTGTGCTGCTTTTCTCTTGCCAACCTTTTTGCACCTCTACTGGATCACAGGGGGTTCTTGTGCTGTTTTCAGGTGCAACAACTTTTAGATGGTCAAGTTTAGCTGGCTTTAGTAACTGTCTGTAAGGAACAGCCACATGTATATGTCAAAGGGCCCTAAGGTAGAAGGCAAGAAAATAATGCGTCTGGGCTTTGGGATAGAGGGAGAACAGAGTTGGTTGGTTTGAGAATGAGAAGTATTTGTTCCTCTGTTTCAGTTAATTATTGTCAATAACTGGGAAACTGTAAGAAACAAGTGAACTTCCCACCTTACTCCCGCATACTCTGCACTGGAAATGCAGGAGGAGATGATATATTCCCTGGGCTTTCTGCTGCTCCGCTTGCCAGCTCAAGCAAGGAGCTGGAGTTTATCCCTCTTGGCAGGAACCTGCTTGGTGCTGGTGTCAAGGCCTTTTGCCATGTTTGCTTCCACTTCTGCTTACTGTGCCCTTCCTCTGTCCCCAGGCTGGATCCTCATCGACCGCTGTGGCAAGCACTTTGGGACGATCCTGAACTACCTGCGGGACGGGGCTGTGCCGCTGCCGGAGAGCCGCAGGGAGATCGAGGAGCTCTTGGCTGAAGCAAAGTACTACCTGGTCCAGGGGCTGGTGGACGAGTGCCAGGCAGCCCTGCAGGTAGGTCACAGAGCTAAGGGGGTTACTCTGGTTGCAGTGAGGGGTCCACAAGAGGCTGCTGCAGGTGGGAAGCAGCATCTGGGCAGAGCGAGATTCTCTGCTGGTCTCTTCTTGGTGCCTTTTGGAGGCTGGGATGGAACAGAAATAGTTGGTGCTGTTCATCTGCTGGAGTCTGGTCACATCCAGAAAGATGTACTGAGTCGTTCCCAACATTTAGTGCTACCCAGTTACAGGGAGAAGTAGTTGCTCAGTTTCCTCCTCTGGCTCCTGGCAGCGTGCAGGGAGCAGCACCCTGGCTCCTCTGCACTGTTCTTCACTGCCATCAGGGTCTTAGGCAGCAAAATGATCCACCGTCAGCACAAGCACACTGACCTCTTCAGCACAGAAGATGCAGGATCTTCCCAGTTCTTAGGAGCGTGCCCTAACGTCCATTTATATTCAGCTGCTGTTTGATTCTTGTTTCAGCAGAACAAAGATGCATATGAGCCGTTCTGCAAGGTACCAGTCATCACGTCCTCCAAAGAAGAGCAAAAACTCATAGCCACTTCCAACAAGGTAAGAACCAGGCTGTGCCCTGGCCTGGGGGGGCGAGAACCACCCGTGGTGTAGTCACAGAGGGACTGCAGCCCCACTGCCAACCTGTGCAGGCAGCTCTGCACCAGCACCAGTAACAACATCCCGCTGGGCTTGGGCCTGATGGTGTCACACCATAGTGCAGTTTCTCTGCTTTGGGGTCCTGGTCTGAGCTGGCATTCTAGCTCTTCCTGTACTGCCTGTGACTGATCTATGGTTTGTCTTTACAGCCAGCAGTGAAGCTGCTGTATAACAGAAGCAACAACAAATATTCCTACACCAGGTAAGTGACTTCTGCTGGACTTACTGGAAGTTTTAATAGACTAAAACCCGTGCTAAGCATTTGCTTTTCCCTCACTCGGAACCAGTGACAGATTGCTGCTGGCAGGCACTCAAGTTTTTCCCTATTAATTTCAAACTTCAATCAGAAGGGAGCTTGCTGTCATCCATGGAAGGCTATTTCTGTGCCAGAGGAGTTCCTCTCATACTTCAGTGCAGCTGGCAGAGGCTCCTGGCCAGCTGCTGGCCTGCCTTTCCCATAGGCTGCCGCACCTTCGCAGCACGTTCTTTGAATGCAGGAAGCTTTCCATGCTGCAGTGTTCTCAATAAGTGGTAAAATCAAGGCTGGGACCTTGTCTCCTTTTCCTTACTCTGCGTATGTTCCGTGATACAACGCTGTTCCCATCCAGCTGGTGCTCAGCTTGAGCTTAGGATTGGTTTTCTTGGGTGATAGAATTTTATACACCAAAGAAATGGTCCTGGGCAGTATTATTCTCAGTACTGCTGATGTATTACTGCTCCTTCAGCAGCAGGTTTTCCTGAAGTGGATAAATAAGTTACCCACTGCAGGGCTGGATACCAGCTGTAAGCACTGCCCTTAGAGGCACAGTGAGCCCAAGGAAGCTGGGCTGAGCGGCCTGTACGTGCTCAGTGCCTGAGCCCCCGTTGTGTTCTGTGTGCTGCCTTCCTTACCTTGAGGTGACCAGTCCCTGCCTTCATCCCTCGCAGCAACTCCGATGACAACATGCTGAAGAACATCGAGCTGTTTGACAAGCTCTCCTTGAGGTTTAACGGGAGAGTGCTCTTCATAAAGGATGTGATTGGAGACGAGATCTGCTGCTGGTCTTTCTACGGGCAGGGGCGGAAGATCGCCGAAGTCTGCTGCACTTCCATTGTCTACGCTACTGAGAAGAAACAGACAAAGGTAAGAGCAGAGCCCTGAATGCTTCCAGCAAGGGGCTGCTGGCAGCAGCTTCCTGACATCTGGTCCATTCTTAACACTCCTTCCTTTGTTGGGCATCTCTGTAGCATAATCGGTGCCATTCAAAGTGGTGCTGGTCCAGGGGGTGCATTGGGGTGGACGCTGCTTCCCTGCGCCACTTACACAGGGTGATCGAGATATCCCATAATGCAGGTTCAGTCCAGTTCTTTATCTTTAGACAAACTTGTGCATTTAAGCAGCTTTGGCTGACACAGATCGTGGTGAGCAATGACATGACTTCCCCGTGCCACCTTCCCTTCCCCAGGGGAAGCCTGTCTGAGTCTGCCGCGCGGGCCGGCCA